TCAAACTTTGCAAAATGTTTTAATTCTCGGGATCCATGTGAGTAGAGAGTGCAACGCTGTACCTTGCAACCAAGGGAGAGGTCCTCCCTTGTTGGGCAGTGTTTGATCATTATGGGCTGAGAGGTTAAGTGTAATACTATTTAAGGTAATACCTGATGGGCTAATCTTGAATCTGCCAACAGTCCTTGGGCCTTCATAAGGTGGATGGACCTAAAGACCATTTAGTGTAAATGTTGGGCCCATTAAAATCCCATACTGATAGACTTAGGGGTTCATTGTGTGGGGACGAAACTGGTGTGGGGCCCACCGCGAAGGAAGATCATCCAATGATCTTGAGGACATCATGGCAATGATGTGCATTCAGCCATGGTGTGCGCAAGAGCCACTATCGTATCAACATGGGCCAAGTACTTATGGCCCATGAACGTTGCACATCACACATCCATACATCACATGCATGAAAAACATAATTGATCCAATCAATTAATATCTGTAAAACCCATAATTAAAGCCCATAATTATCTATAATATTACTAATTAATATTATCTAGGTATATGGGCTGAATTGCAAAGAGCAGTTTGGCCCATATAGCTTTTATGCAGTTAATGGGCTAAAGTAGTTTTAACACGTTAAAACTGGGTTTTACAGGTGTGGGCTGAATTGCATCCTGCAATTAACCATCAACTCTTGGACCCAAGAATGAAAAATTAGGGCTGAGAACAACCTCCATCGAACCACAGATTCGATCCAACCAGTTTGGTCCAATCTGGTTCGAATGGGTCTAGGGTTTGATCTTTAATTCAAGATTTTGATCTGAAATTAAATTACTGATGCAAGACATTCAAGAATCAGAAAAGGGAGACTATTCGTAGGTCTGCTACCCTGCAAAACAGAGGTTAGTACACAGCTTGCAGTTTCCAAAATTGCAAAGGGCAATCTACGAAAATCTCCTCCTTGCGCTTTCTGCTTCAACTTTGAATGAAAATAAAATAGAAAACCTAATTTTTATTAATCTTACATCAAATTGAATTCCTATACATTCTGTCTAAAAATAAAAAAAAATTATTTACAGACCAAGAATGTAAAAGAACAACAAAAACGCAGATTTCTTACGCCATAAAATGATTTCGATCTCCACCATACGAACAACCCAAAAATCAAGAAAAATATAAAGAACAATTCTAAATATAATTCAGATTTATAAAATTTAATTTCAAATCAATCGCCCAAAAATCTGGGAACAAACTTCCTAAAAATTGCTAATCTGTGCAAATCGGGTAGAATGCCTTCTGCCCATTTGCGCAGTTCCAGATCTGGTTAATTTTGGTTCAAGATTTGAACCTGGCTCTGATACCATTGAAGGGATGAGAGATCCATCATATGGATGGTCGAACCCTACAGGTAGGTTGGGCGAAATTTCAAAAATTTCTCTCTCCCAAACCAGATCAGATATGAAACCAAAAGGGAGTGGAGGGTTATACCAGATACGAAGTTATCAGAATATAATCATAAAAATTTCAGATCAATTCGCCCAAATCTGAGAACCATTTTCTTAGAAAAACTGCTAACTACTCAATTCGGATATACTAGTTCTTGCCGATTTGATTCTTGGTTCAAATCTGCTCTAATTTGGTTCATGATTGAACCTTTGGCTCTGATGCCACTGTTGGAAGGTTAGGATCCATCATATGGATGGCCGAATCATGCTAAATGGCTGGGCGAAATTTCAAAAATTTTCTTTAACTTTTCAAGAATCATATTCTCTGTTTTAGAAAAAATGCAATTTTCTATGATTGATGTTGCACTGAAACTGGACCAGATTTGAAACCAAACAAGAGGGAGATGTATACCTAATACGGATTCCACAAATGTAGTTCCCAAGGTGGTAGTTTATGCCCAAATCAAATCCCAAAACCAAATTCCACTGAAAATGGCACAACTTGAAGTTGAAACCGGTTCAGCAATGCAATTTTCAGCAAAACCGCAGTCCAACACTTTGGATCGAACAAGGGAGGTGAGAATGATTTTTCTCTGTATTTTTCTTGCAAAAATTAGAGAAAGAGCTGATCAAGATCAGTCCCAAAAAGGTGATATTGAACTACGGTTTCTTGGGCAACAATAGGAGAAGAGAGAATGTTGAATTGCAGAGTTATCTGAAGTAGTTCGATCGCTCCTTCTTTTATCCTTTACGGGGCACCTTTCCTAATCGAATTAGGAGGTTTATCCAAATTTTTATTTGGATCTGGACTCTATCATAAATAGGTCTTATCCTCTTAACAAAATGGGTGCTCCATACCCATATCCAAACCCATATTCGCCCATGTCATATGACAGTTTAAGCAGTCATGTGACATCTTGATTAATCATATTAATCATGGGCTTTAGGCCCATTAACTAAATGGCTCACGACCGCACAATGACCTCACATAAGCCCACATGGGTTCAACACAGCCTTTATGAAAAGGTCTGGTCGAATTCACTGCCAAATGTAGTGAACCCTTGAGTTCATCACTATGGGCTCAAAATGGGCCCAACATTTACAGTTAATTGATCATTTAATCCAACCATCCTATGAAGACCCAAGGATAATAGACTTAATTAAGATATAGTCCATCAAGTAATGAACCCTTAATGGTCTCTTACACTTAACCCTATCAGCCCACAATGATCAAACACTACCCAACAGGGAAGGACCTCTCCCCTGACTGCAAGGTGTAGTGTTACACTCTCTACTTGGATGGATCCTAGGAATTAAAACCTTTTGCAAACACTTTTCTCAAAACATAATATATATGTATCATATAGATATATTTTGCAAAACCAAATCTCAAACATAGTTGAAATCCACTTATGGCAATTTAGATTTCCATCAGAAAGAGTGCAGTCTCAGTCATTCACTTTGTTCGACAAAGGGACCGATCCTATCACTATGATCACCCACTTAAGTGAATTCTCAAACTGTCCCAACATACTCAGGTTTTGACCCCTAAAGGATCTCACTGATTGACATATCAAAGACAGTCTGATTTGACACCCAATGCATTATCATAATCAAGTATAGGGGTTATGTGTAACTTTCTAGTTTTGCCTATCAATCTCCAAGGTACAAGGCATAACTGGAAAATAGTCCAGGTTTAGTGTTTCAACCAAACACACACTACATGTGCTTTGGGTCTAACCTTAACAGTTGAAACAAGCTACTCCAAGTTCTTTGGTAGCACATCAGTGTCAACCTTGGTAGAATAAACTCCCTAAGTCTATCCAATGGCTGTGAACATTCTAAGTATTATTGGTTAGATCTGAAAGGTTCTTAGACATCCAACGGCTGAGAACATCACATATTGGTCATTATGAGGTGATTGAAAGGTTCTTAGACATTTGAAGGATAAATAAGAAAAACAACTCTTGTTTTCTAATTATAGACATCTTTGAGTAGAAGCATACACTAATGCTGGTTAGACTTGTGTTGGTAACAAAAAGTCCACATCTACGTATTGCACTCTAATAGGAGGAAATCATTAGAGTGGTATTTCCAAGCTCCTTTAGGTTAAGCATGTTTTGAGAGATCTTAGGTTTTGTAATAATGAACCTGTGAGGATATAATATGACAATAAGGTTGTAAGCAATATAGCTTGTAATCCCATCTAGCATTATCACACTAAGCATATAGAGGTGGATTTACACTTCATATTCGAGGTGGACAATAGTGTGCCTTCCATTTGTGAAGAACAAAAACCATCCAACTGATTTTCTTACTAAGGATCTTTCTCAAATTAGACATAATATTGGCAAGTTCGAACATGAACCCTAAAGTGACAGAGATATTTGCTCCACTCACAAAGTAAGTGACTCAAATACCCTTAGACTTTAAGTTCTATTCTCTACAATTTCTACAGGACTAAGGCCATGTTTGGAAGTGCTTATTTGGGTGGAGACCACACCATTAAGCACTTGTTAGTGTTTGGGAAATAAGCCTGGAATAAGTGCTTATTTTGAAAATAAGGGCTTATTTTTTAAGCCCAAATTTCTAGCTTTTTTTAAGTGCTCATATAATAAGCACTTATTCAATTTTTTACTCTCATAATTGTCCCTAGTGAATTTTTAGAATACCAATTATACCCTTTTACAAAAACAATTTATAAAGGCACTTCTAATTACTTTTATGAAAAAACTTTTGTAAAAGTACTTTTACATGAAAGCACTTCTACAAAAATACTTTTATGAAAACACTTTTATAAAAGTACTTTTATGAAAGTACTTTTAGGAAAACACTTTTATAAAAGCAATTTTATGAAAGCACTTTTATAAAAGCACTTTTACAAAAGCACTTCTATCAAAGTACTTTTATCACTTTAGATTGAATATTTTGAAATTTTGAAAGAAAATGAAGGATAAAAGAGTCACAATTGCTTATTTAAGTACTTATTGGAGAAAAAGACCACCAAACACCCAATATAAAATAAGTGCTTATTCCATTAAACACTTATTTTTAACATAAACAATCCCAAACATGACCTAATATCCATAGTTCAAAGGATTGAACCCTAAAAACAAACTAATCCCCATATCAGGAATTCTCCATTTTTTTATCAATGTCGGGTATTCTCTAATTGAAGAGGTAGGGTCGTGAAAGAGCTGAGCTTTTTAACATATCATGTCCTTGTCTTACATTAACATGTGGTCACTAATAAGCTATATCAGGCAACTAGGGATGTCAGTGGGTGGGGTTAAGGGGTAAACCCGCATTGACCGGAGCCTATTGGTTAAAGACAGGTCAGCCTCAATCAGGTTTTGGGTCAGGATTGGGTTGAGGTGCACATGTGCCAGGACCAACATGTAGCATTGAATAATTTGTACATATAGCCTTGTTTGACCATTGGTCTACTATTTGTGGGGTAATTCAGATCAGCTTTGGTACTCCATCTTATTTAATCAGGTCAGTCAACTTCATGTTGAGTCAACCCATACTGAACAGACCCGCTGACATCCCTATAGGAAACCATGACGCATTAACACATTCTCCAACAGTCATGAACCTTCAGTTCAAACATCTTTTTATAGATAATTATAATCTTTATTAGTTTGTGAAAAAATAATTAAGTACAATACGTATCTTTTGTTAGGTTGGTATTTCACCACCTAACCTCCTTGCATGCATTTCAAGTTTACAAATAGTTCTTATTTGTTGTTCCCCAGTACATTTATTCTCTGTTAGCCCCTTGTTTAGCAAGTCTATCAGCCAAACAGTTTGCTGATCTGTGAACCCCCACGGGCCACGACTCACACAACCCTCGTCCTCATTAGATGCTAGATTTCTCCCAACCTTAAATACCAGCATGAAAGCAGGAAAACATGACAGGATGTACAGAAAAATTATACCTGTATTAACATAAAGACAAACATCTTTTACATGAGTAGGCTGTCCCAACGTTTTTTAAGGGCCTTGCATGCCTCGAAACATGAAAGAGCATGCAGCCTTGGGCTCCCATTAGAAAGAACCTCTACTACAAGGCCCAACCTCAGCAATGTATCGAGAGCTTTGTCAACCGGCATTTCAACCTGCACAAAATTCAACCCAGTCCTTTTAGCTTATACAATCCATTTTATTGAAGGAACATTGTTTTTCTTACCTTTTCCTTGAACTTATCGTACAAAAACATCTCACATGAGCTCCCGATGCTTTTACGACAAAGGACCTGCATTTTCCATAACAGCTAGTGATCTTTATATGCCAATTACAGGACAAAGAAAACTAATGAAAAAAAGGAAAACATGGAAGTTATACATCCAAAGTATTCTCATATTCCATTATGATAAAAATAAAGATCCTTTTGTCTGGTAAAAAATTGCTTTTGCATATCAGAATCGACATAAAATATTGGAATTTAACTTGATGGTACTCATGGGATCTGAGAACTTTGATATGGTTCTCCTCCGCATCTCAAAAAGCCTAGGCATATTTGACAATAGTTAAAAGGACTCAAAAGTAATTTTAAGTTGGTAGATGTACTGAATGATACTTAAACCAATCTGATTTTATTTCATAGGTTATAGGACATGCCCAATTGGCAGGTTAGTCCTAGGTCTGATAGTTGAGCCCTGATAATAAGTGGGTTTGTATCAGGTTTACCCCAATCCAGCTTGATAAGGATCCAAACTGATTATCTATGATAAATAGGGGATGGTGTTGCATATATCACCATTAATTGAAGAGCACAGACACACATACCACAAAAACTGATGCAATATTTTCTATATTTCACTTTTCTCATATTAAGTACTAAATTTTACTTCTCTTTTTACCCCTCAAAAACAATAGTGTTCATTCTATAACTAAACGATTACCCAGAACATGAATGACAGGGAAACTACAAGTATGATATAAGAGCTCAGAATGAGTATTTTGAGCCTGTTTCTCTTTTCTATACTGATATCTTGGGTAAGACTAGTGTTCATTCTATCCCCTCATAAATTCTTGAATTTACAGCACTAGTTTGTAAAAAGCCTGACCTTGTCACCTTTCTGAATGACGTGAATACCTCTCTCATATTTATAATTATCAAGACAATCCCAAAAAATTTTTGTGCTCGACCTTGGTCAACCAAATTCTGTCCCACCATTTGGAAGCCCATTTGATGAGCTTCTCATAGAAAAAACCCAGACTTTACATATTATGGGATGGCTTGAAGAGTCCAACTATAATAGGGGGTTCTGATTGGTCAAAGATCTTCCAGTATCATACCATTCTAGCATCATAGATATTTCCCTACGAGAATCCAAGAGGATCCTAGGAGAGGAATAACAGATGATGCTAATTTCAGAATAAGATTGTTATCGTAAAAGATTACCAGGACTAGACCCAAAAACTTCAGGTTGGTTAAGATTTTCAGTGCACTGGGGCTATAATCCTATCTCTATAAATCAAGGCAAAAATTCCTAGTTAGACAATGAAATTATTGACTTGGTAAATTTTCCGGCTTTATTTCAATTAAAAAAACATAAAATACCTCATCCTCATTAGCTTGGAGCAGAACTGCATAAGCTAAAATAGCTTCTTTGTACTGCAAGGCACAGAGTGAAAAGAAAAGGAAAATGAAGAATAATTTCAGATGGCAAAGTTTCTTGGATTCTATTGAAGATAAAGCCATCACATATTTAATATCCTCACTTGTTGCTGTTCAGAGGCATCCAACAGAAAGTGAATTGAGCCAAAGCCACTTGCTAAGGTTTTCTCGTTAAGTGTCTTGTTGACCAGAAGCTGTAACAACGGATCCTATATAAGAAGACACTAAGAACATCTTCCACAAATATGAATACAAGGGAATATTTACATAATTTGTTGTTTTGATCCATGAAGGTCCTCACTACAATGGAAAATATAGATAACTAACTTGATATCGATCCCAAGTCTGCTTGTAACCCAGTGCTACACGAATTATGTATATAATAAGGGTACTGATTGCAATCACATCAAGCAAGAAAGCTGACCTGTATAACAATCAAGGTACATAATCAATGTGAACATTAAATTAGAAAACAAACATAATACGTGTGTTAATCAAGGTCAATGAATTTTAAAAGGGAAGTGACAATTACGAAACACTATAATAATGGGAATAAATATAGGTGAAGATGAGAGTGGAGAAAAATATTTAAAGGTTTCTCAAGGGGAGGATGCAGGTCATGGTAAAGGACAAATGGAGAGACAAAAACACTTCCCTTCTTGAAATATGGTTATGGAGATTTCCTAGGTAACCTAGCAGTGTCCCATTTAGTCATCAAAAGCAAGTAGATTCTGCATAATAATAAAAACCAAGATTTAACACCACACACACAAAAAAAATAAAATAAAATAAAATCAGCTGGCTCAAAGTGGTCATTATCTCCATTAGGCAGGTTATAATACTATTCCTCCATATATCTGTAATATTGTTGCCAGCTCATCATGTTATAATACCATCGTGTTTACTCCTCTACATGGTATTGGCAATTTTTACTGGGGGAATACGTCGATTTCAATAATATTTTGTGTTTGTAGTTTGTACCCATAGAATTGACGCATGTCATGGAAATATCAAGAAATAGTGTTGCCATTTTAAAGCATGCTTAGTTGAGAAGGTCATTTTAGTGTGTTACTGAAATTCATTGTGGTCATCCTTCCCACATTCTAATAATTTGACTGGTATGAAGTGATTCTGGAACAAGAAGTACATTATGGGAGGATTTATTGTGATAGGATTTTACCCTCAGAAATGGGTTACTTAACTCTTCTATCTTCCCCAATTCAATGTTGCCAAGTCAGACTCTCGGACATGTTGGATTCCGACTCCCATGACTGTGTGTCTATGCAACATTGATTTGCACCATAAAGAACAACGTGACAAGTTGGGCATGATTGATAATATAAGACACGACTTGGGGTATTCCTGCATCAATGATCACAGATCTGAATCTCTCAAACTAGGCTCTGGGTGCTGGATTTATTCAGATCTGTGATCACTGATGCAGGATTTATTCAAAGCTCGTCTGGTCACTCTCTTTTCACTTTGCATCAGAATCAGGGTGCGACTCTTTTCCTCCTATATGTTGATGACATAATTATTACAGAGAATGATGTGGAGGGAATCACTGATCTGAAAAGACTTCTTAGTGACTCCTTTAAGATGAAGGATTTGGGCCCCTTAACCTACTTCTTGGGACTTGAGGTCAGCCGTAATTCCCAATGGCTATTTTGTTAACCAGCATAAGTATGCAATGTATCTTGTCAAATTGGCTAATCTCAGTGACTCCAAGACTGTTGATACTCCCTTGGAGGTTAATTTGAAATTAAGCAAGGATGAAGGCTCTCCTCTTGAGGATCCTACTCTGTACCAACAATTGGCGGGCAGCTTAATATATCTCATGATGACTCGGTTGGACATATCATATGCAGTCCAGATAGTGAGCCAGTTTGACAAGATCCATTGCATACTTATGTTAGTTAATAAAATAACCCTCTTCGAGGTGATTGGAGGTTCCCAAGGTTTAGAAAACTTGGAAAGCTGCCCGGTGACCAGGAAGAATCAGAGAAAACAGGTCAGTTTCTGATTTAGGGCTTAAATCAGAGATTGGGAGTGGTGGCCAGTACTTTCTGGGTTGTTTTTTCATTCTTTTTTTGGATTGACAGACATCTGAAGTTCTTTGGAATCCTCTGGGAGGACCAACTGTCTGATTTCTCTTCTCTTGGACTTTTTTTTTTTTTTTGGGGGGGGGGGTTCTTTGCAGACTGTGTTTTTGGGCTGAGTTGTTGACAGTTTTGTTCACTTCAGCCTCTCACCTTGTGTTCGAAGAAAAGCCTCTGGACATTTTTTATTCTGGGTGCTGCAGGACAGTACTTGAAATAATATTTTGTTGAAAAGGGAGTTGGACATACAGTGTTGTACCTTCCATTCTGTGACTATCCATTGTTCATTACAGCATGGAAATGACTGGAAATGAAACCAAATCATATGGAGAAGAACTTGTAGGAGCTGGAAATTCTACTGACAACAATTCATTTCAGATTACTACAGTCAAGTTTGATGGAACAAACTATTTGGAATGGGCCCAATCAGCCATAGTGGCCATTGGAGGAAGGGGAAAGCTGGGGTATGTGATGGGAGACAAAGAAACTAGCTCAGGAGGACCCTTACCTTGTTAAATGGGTCCAAGAAAATTATTTGGCTATGACTTAGTTATGCAATTCCATGCAGCCTCATATCAGTAAAAACTATCTTTGGGCAAAGACACCTATTCTCAACCCCTTAACGTTGGTAAAGCCTATGAACTAAAAAATGAGGTGAATAATCTTAAACAGGGGGAGAAACCTGTGCCAGTTTATTTCTCCACCTTGAAATCATTGTGGCATGAGATTGATCATCTTGAGACTATTGAGTGGGAGAGCCAGAAAGATGCTGCCACATACAAGAAATTAGTTGAGAAAAAGAGTGTTTGAATTCCTGGTTAGGCTAAACTTTGATTATGACATTATAAGACAACAACTTCTCACTAGAGATAGTGTCTCTTTGTGAATAAACCCTAGTTGTTTCTAGGTCAAAGTAGAGAAGAAAAGAGAAGAAAAGAGAAAGAAGAAGAAGAAGAGGAGAAGAGTGTTCGGCCAGACTAGAAGAGAGGATGTTCAAAAGTCACTCTCCTAGCCGACCCACTTGACTTTTATTCATTAAAAACTAGGAGTTACAAGAAAGACAATTTTGTCCCTCATAGAAGATGGGACACGTAACTTAAACTCAGATACAATAAACATTTCACTTTCAATAAGATACACCAGAATGACCAAAATACCCCTGACTCGAGCATTCTAACACTCCCCCTCAAGCTGGAGAGTATATATCATATAGTCCCAGCTTGTTACAAATGTAATCTATTCTTCCCCG